GGACGGAAGCAAAATTTTGTGAACAGTGCTGCTCGTGACCCGAATTGGTCATGAACAGAAGCGTTCGTGACCCGAGGTACCACTGTATAAGGCTATCTCTCCATCAGCTGAAGCACATCTTCATCTTCCAGTAAGATAATGATCCTAAACATATAAGCAAGTCTACAAGAGAATGGATGAAGAAGAAAAGTTCAGTATTTTGAAATGGCCCATGAGTGAAGCAGGTTTAAATCACCCTTCGTTGCACTGCAGTTAAGCAATATCGTCCCCCCTACTCCAACAAAGTCCAAGGGGAATCAAGCTATATAAAATCTGTTGGTTTGTCATTGTTTACTTTGGAAGGAAGTCAGGTGGCTGTGACTGGAAACAGATGCAATGGGGCCTGCAAATTTCATGTCAGTATATTTTTTTGACAACTCAGGGATGGCAGAGTAGCACTTCAGCTCAGCAATGGAGAAAGAACCTGGTTCTTTCTGACCAACACATTTGGTCAGTTCTCCTTTAAAATATGAGTCTCATATTTAGTAATGGCCCTCTATTCCTTAAGTAGTGCTTTTACTGAAACAAGTGGGAAGCTTATGAGTACAGATAGTCCTTGGTTAACAATGGTAATTGGGACTGGGAACTCCGTTACTAAGTGATATGGCTGTAAAGTGCAACGTCACGTGACTGCATTGACTTATGACAGCAGTTCCAGTTGCAGTTGTTAGGCAAATCCTGTGTGGTTGTTAGGCACAACATCATGTGATTGCCATTTGCGATCTCCTGCTGGCTTCCCCATTGACTTTGCTTTCAGAAGCTGGTGGTGAAGGTCGCAAATAATGATCACGTGAGTGCAGGACGCTACGGCCATCATAATTGCGAGCCAGTTGCCAAGCATCCGAATGGTGACCGCAGGAATTCTGCGATGGCTACAACCTCAAGAACCGGCTGTAAGTCTCCTGTTCAGCACTGTTGTAACTTCAAATGGTTGCTGAATGAATAGTTGTTAACTGAGGACTACCTGTACTAGCTGAAGAGTATAGGTTAAAATGTCCTTGAACAGTTGTATATCACCTTTCTTGGCATGTCTGGCATTTTTGGAAAAAATCCGGTGGCACAGGGAGAAAATCAAACCATTCTAAACAGTTTGAAATCTACCACAGACTTATAATGGGGACCAGATAGAGTTTACCTTTATTTAAAACTTGCCAGTCAATTACCAACTCCTGATCTAGTGAGCAACCTCTCTCTTTTCCTTTAATTGTCCCCAGCATGCATTTGGTGACAACTGTAATTGTTTGCTTGTGACACCACTTTATATATTACTTAACACAGATGTTAGTTGAGGAAGAATGTTGGCAAGATGGACAAATGGCAGTGTTTCTACTGAATCGCTCTTGTAGATAAAAGCAGATATGCAGCTTTACAGTGGTCAGTACCTGATGATAGCTTAGAAATTCATAAAGGAAAAAAAAAATCCTGATCTACTCCTATGCCTTTAACTATTGGTGGTTAATAAGAAATCAAAAGGAGAGGAGTTATTTCACAATGTAAGAGTGAAGATTATTACCTATTAACATCTGTACATCCAACTGCTATGAAAGGCACAGTTTTAAGGAGAGGTTGAAAAGTCTGCAATCCTCTTAACGTTTATTCCTGGGAATTCCTATGTGTTTTATTTAACATTATTTAGGTTTTTCACATGTGGCCTTTGCTGGGTATGGCCTATGTAAATCATGATGATGAAATCAGCTAGCAATGAAAGAGGGGCAAATATAAAGGATACAGTAACTTTTGCGGGCTGCAGAAGTGCAATCACTAGATGGCAGGAAAGAAATGCTGAAAATGCTAACTTTTTGGGTATATCTGGTGTCATCTAGTGACCATGCGGATTTTTGGAACCTAGATATAGATCTAGGTAAGTGTATGACCTGGCCTGTTTTATATACCCGCGGGGGAGATGGGCGGCATACAAGCCAAATAAATAAATAAATAAATACATACATACATACATACATACATACATACATATCAATCTATGGAACCTCTTTAGATTTTGATCTATATATATTGAATCTTTCTGCTTTGCGCGCAGCACGTCTTTTAGGAAATAACCATACCTCTTGATTATGGATTAATTTTGCATCAAACAATATAAATGGTCTCTTTAATAGATAAATTCTAAAATGAAATTAATACATTGTATTGTATT